TACGGCGCGCGTAATTGGGTCGCTAGGATCCACCATAATTGGTAGAGGACCTTCGCGATGTTCTGGAACATAAGAAAGCCATCTTATAACTTCTTCACATCCTTCCATATCATCATCCACTACAAGATGAGATACTCCATTCTTTGCCATGATATCTACTCCTCCAATTGCGTCATTTGAACAATAAACGTCTCGACCGATCAAGCGATTCAAAGCCTGAAGAATAACCAAGAATCAGGCGCTGAATAAAAACTTCACCAAAACCAAACATGAAAATCATTATCGTTTCAAAACGCATACTTGATAGCCAGTTAATAGAATTGGAGCTCCACTCGACTTCTGTATCACTCTTTGTCCCAATCTTGTAATATAAGCTCCAATCCCTACAGTCCTCCCTGTGACGAATGTGACGGTCATGTTCGATTGGTAAGCACGGGATGTTTCTCCCGCAATGGCTCCACTGCCACATAGATTCTCAACACCCAATCCAATTTGACTTCCAATTACTGTTGTGATGCGATAAATTCTGAAGACATTTTGAACATGATTGATCACGCTTCATCCATTTTGAAGTCGGACATTCCATCCAACTAAACTATTAATGTCCATTTAACTGAATTATTGTCCCAATCCCTTACTTTCCATGAATGGGATGATCGACTGGCTCAGAAGCAACTGATTCACTGGCGCGCAATTTTTTATAATCTTCTTCCGTTAAATACAAATATTTGAATCCCAGCGATGGTTGATCCGCATTCACCCATTCAACTTTAAAGACCTTCTGAACTTCAGTTGCTAAACCCATCCGAGCACCCGAATTGACGGCAATATAAACGCGCGGAATCCCCTAAAGACGGAATCAGGAACTCATGGTCGGAAGATCACGGCCGGAACACAATCCTCGTTTTCCCACGTACGTGCTTTCTCGCAACTTCGGACACACGTTGAAATAGTAAGTCTTCCTGAACTCCAAATGTTCCCATATGGTACGTGACGTCATTGCCGATCAGGATGATCCTTCGCCCTCTTGGAAATTCTGGAGTGCGCATCACAACCCGCCAGGCAACCATTCCGCATTCATTCAATCCAGGGTCCCGGAAAACATCCTCCACTTCGCCTGAACGCATGAATAGAATGGATATCTCCATACGCCGATAAAAACAAGAAAATTAGAATTCTGTGACGCACCGCGATGATCAAGCTTCAGTTCAACCGACTCCAAGACTCGATCAGGCAAGAATGTCGTTGGATGAACAGCCTCAGAAGGTTTAGTCCCAATTCCATCCGATGAGGATGTTTGGTCTCCACGAAGAGAAGGAACGAAATATTTGGGACATGATCTCCATTGTTTCTTGATCGCCTCCTCAAATAAGTCCTGCACAAGGAATCAGATGTGCGAGAGGGAAGGAGACCGCCATACCAAAAAGTCGTAGATATAGATTGTGGACAAACTCGCAGCTAAGACACGCTTCTCGTCCAAAGGACCGGCTAGAGGATGAGGAGTCAAGACCGGAAACCCGTCGTACGTGAGATCTTTGTGAGATGCTGATTGACGATTAATTTCTGGTCTGCATGAATGAACTGGTTGGAGAGGTTGCCGTACACTAATAGCCAGACTGTCCGAAGCATCGAGGGCAGAGTAAACCAAATCTCCGGTAGTTGGGTCCGTAATTTCAACGAATTTTTGGATTCGAAGGCTTTGACCAGTTGGATTAGTGATGACCAGTCGTATTGGGACAAAAGTGTCGGAAGCTGAAAACATTGAGGAATCATCGAAATGACGAGTCAACTCAATTTGTGATTCGTTGATCCAATTTCTGACTGATCGACCAATTAATCGAGCAGCTTACCTTGCAGCGATCTTTGAGCAAATCGAACTTCTACGGCGCTCACTCGATTCTTCATTAAACGTTGTTGATATCGTTTAGCGATAGTGGTAATAGATGCTTCGGCAGCTGCTGGCGATAAACGTTGACTGACAGCACCACTTCCACGGATGGACGACTGATTCCCTCCAGCAGTCGTTGATTGAAGAATGACAGAGAGCAATAAGTGATGCGACGGCGAAGGCCGACTCCCTGCGTTTCCGGACGACGCACTCGATTTTAACGCAATCTCTAATGCGTTCAGAGCTGCAACGACGTGACGCTCGAGCTCAGCGGTGTCTTGTTCTTCGTTATTCATGCGATAATGAATCAAGACGCGAACGAAAAATCGGGGAGATCCCGCCAAAGGAGGTGCTTTGCTGGAGTGGCGAAGCTCTTGAGAATCACCATCCACCTTCGGGGTCGCTTCGTACATGTGGATGTTGGGAACGGTTGTGGGCTCGCGTCGTACATGGAAATGGCACAAGCGCTTTAACTCTAATTGGCTGAATTCGGAGCAAATGACATTTCTCAAAAGAGGTTCTTCTACGTAATTCGGAAACTTCTGAAAAACATTTTATGATCAATGGAGCGCAATGGACAAAATAATAAATCATAGCAAATAAATTTCTATTGCAGACGCAACAGAGATAGAGAAACAATCATACATAGAGTTCATAATTCATCGAGTAGTTGTCATCAATTGATGCTTCAACTTCGATTCATACCTCGGGGAGATCAATGTCGGTTGACTGATGGGCGAGATCCGCAGAGTCAGCAGGACATCTGTTCGTGGGCTCCGTTGCCCCATTCAAAGGAGCGAGTTCCGTGAAGTTGCGGAAATACGAGTAACGAGGAAGAGAGCTGCCGACAAGCTCTGAGTCTGAGAAGGCGCCCTCTGGTGGAACTCTTCTTGAAGGAGTTGATGAGGCGGGGAAGATGCTCGAGAGTCTGTTGCAGATTGGGACTTGAAGGGGGATTGGGGAGCTTGGGAGGGTCGACTGGGTTTGGATGGGATCCTCATTTCGAGCATCGATTGAGTGCAGAGGATGTTTTTGAATGGAGGGACAGGTTGCGCGTGAAAGAGATATCGGTTCTCCAAATTCAGCGATTGGAAGAAGCGGATCAAAATTCAGGAGTTCAGGTTGAGCCGACTGAAGAATCAGGAACCGATCAGAGATGTCGAATGCCACGCTTACGCTTGTGCGACGGGAACGTAACGAGAAGTCGTCGAAAAGCGGAAATGTCGACCGACGCGGTGGACACGACGACGGACACTCTGGGTCGGCAGAATCCAGGGAGCGTCTATGGCGCGTTGTCATATCGGAGCCATGTTCGGTTTCCTGAGGAGCGATCGCGACGGTTTCTGTGATTCGATCCAGATCCCCGATTTGGCGTCCGTGAAGGAAAGCGACTCCGACCAAATGAAATCCCAAAGAGTTTAATAAAGAGGATTGCCGTTGAAGTTCTCCTTCAATTTGAGAGTTGCACTACCGAGAGAGATCGAACACGTTAACGTGAAGAACTTACGTTTAGAGGGGATCTTGTCATTTTGGAAAAGCTTGAGGTTGACGCGTTCAATTCGGCTTCTCCTGTTGCCGAATTTCTTTGACTGAATTCGGAAATTTGGGACACATCAGGGATGAATAGCATCAAAAATTTAGCGTCAGCGCCAGATGGTGCTGGAGACATAGATTCTTGTAAAATAGAGTATTCCTCCAGACACGATGAAAATGTAGACTGAGAAAGAAACACAAGGAATAATGCGGACAAGTACGCACTGACAACGCGAACAAGTACGCACCGACAACGCGAACAAGTACGCACCGACAACGCGAACAAGTACGCACCGACAACGCGAACAAGTACGCACCGACAACGCGAACAAGTACGCACTGACAACGAGGACAACCTACCCGAAACTGATCAAAGGTGGGGAATGCCATGGCGACAGTCATTTGAGACTTTCCCACCGCCTGCTCGCTTGATCCTCCTCCAATTCCAGCAAATGCATTCAACATATGATGCAAGCGTGAGTCAGAGTCGAGTCCCAATGACGCTGAAGGATTGAGACATCGAGATGCACTCGTTATAGATGCATTGAGAGCTCCAGTGCTATTGGAGGATGGATTTGTCAAAAGCGACACCATGGAGTTGTTATTCGATGTGGCGAGACATGCGGAAGGACCTCCAGGACTGTTCGAATAAATGGGACATTGTTGTTGATCTGTCGGAATCCCAGTCGACGCGTCTGCTACACTTGGTAATCGATTTGTCGAGCGTGTCGATGTAATCCTGAAAAAAAATCATCGATGAAGATATTCGGGATACGATGGAGGATCCTCACATGTCACACGTCTCCAGTAGAAATTCACTATTCATGACTGAAGCGTGAATCCAAACAGCCAAAAGTTTATTCACACGTTGACGCGTTTTCGATTCGTCGCATCTCGATTGATCGAATTCGCCACTTGGTTGAAGTGAACGACACGGGAATTGGAAATTCTCGCTTGAACCGCGTCCAGTTGGGAAGTGAGGTAGTCGTTCGCTCGACGTCGCAGAGGATCCTATCCCTTCATCTAGAAACTTTGGTCGCCCTAATGTAAGATGTTGGGATTTTGGTGTCGTTGATTGTCCCATTAGATTGATTGATCTCCACGTGGGTGTGCCGCCAGCGTGCCATGGCTGTCCACTCAATTGTCCGAAAACTGATGGTCCCAAAGAAGTTCCCCAAACATTCTCAGTGAATCCCAACGGTGGCTCCTGCAGCAAATTCATGTGCATTCCAGCCCATCGCGAAGGCGTCATCCCCTTCTGAGATCTCCAAGTCGATACTCGATCATTATCACTCGACGCTGAAGGAACTGCTTCCAATGTATTGATCCAGGATTCTCCATCACAAACGATTCGAAGATCATGAAGTCCGAAACGATCGTAATGTCGCCGCACGAAGATCTCTAGGGAGAGTTTCCGCAACTGTCCGAGCGGATGTCCCATAAGAGCGACAAGGGAATCGTCAACAACTTCATCGACATCACTAACGAAATGCTGAAGCAACGAACTCGTCGGAAGTCCGGAAGAAAGAGCGCTAGATATTCCAAAACCGGAATGCGCAAAACCACCTCCTCCAGAACAGCCGAAGAGAGGAACGCTCCCCATAGGAGTCAGCGGGGTTGGAACGTGGTAGGCCTTCGTACCTGTTGTCGTTGGGGAATGTGCTGCCCAGAGAGAATGGCTGATGAGAGGCTGGCGACGCTCGAGATAATCGAGCAGACTATCAACGAGGGAAAGAGTTCGTTCAGCAAATGGTCGCTGCTTTCGTGTGAGAAGAAGTTGACGTGCGCGCAATGAGACTGCGGCGTACTCTGGCTTCGACAGATTTGAGAGCCGTTGAAGAACCTCCGAGAAAAGAGGAAGATACTCCATAAACCCTAAAGACGGACAATTTGATCATTTGATGAGATTAATTGTATCGTGGTGATAAGTACCTGAAGTTTGTCGAATACAACCGAGAATTCTAATTATTAATTGATTTTTATCAGAAAGTGCTTGATGACTTCGAGCGAGAACTGCCAATTCTGAAGCATCGACTTCAGTTCTTTTATTCAGAAGCACTTTTGGGACAGATTCACTATCTTGTTGATGAAATATTTCCTCCACATCGACAAATTGATTTAATAACGACAAAAACAGATCAATCGCAGAGACAAGCAATCCATTCTCGTATCTGAGAAATAAAAAATAATAAGTGGAAATAAAATGTCGTTTTTGAATTGAGCTGACTTGATCAGTAAATCTGTTAAAGGTTCAAGTTGAGATCGTGTAATGCCGAACGCCTCGCCTGTGGTCAGAAATCAATCTCTCAGATGACGCCGTGGAGTTCTCAGAGCGTCGTACCTGTCGCAGCTTGACCAACGAGATACTCCTCGATGATGTCTAACAACTGACGCGATGGCAATTCCTGTGTTGCTGTATTCGTGATGGATCGCAATCTCTCCGCATTCATGAGAATTTCAACAGGCTCCTGATCTCCAGCGCGTTGTGGTGATTTGATTGAATTGTCGTTCGATATACTCGTTGTAGGAAGCATGTTCAAAGAGGTACTCGGCTCTGAGATTGAATGTTTATCCGAAGGCATGTTGGTGAAGGTTGGTTGGTGGGTGAGACATGCGTAAAGCTGTTGCGCCAACATCTGGGGAAGAACTGGCTCTGAAATACAAATCGTTACCATCAAGAACTAAAGTTCAACTCCTCACCCATGACTGACAAAGCTTCGGCAATTTCAAGCTGAGGTAGCGAGGGATTGAACGAGACGCGCAGAAGAACATCGAGTGCCTTTTGTGATTCTTCAGCGTGACAATGATAACCATTCAGAACGCCAATCAAGCGCTCTTTAGAAAATCGGAAATTCCTACAAAAATCATAAAAGGAAATCTGGGAATCATCAACTGGCGACAAATGTGTTGGCCGGGCTGACGCATCTTGATAGATGTGGAGCATATCAAAGGAGAGTTACCTCAATATAGCTGGACCGCGGGTTCTTGTACTAGAGATGTCTTGTTGTTCATCGCAGTAGTTGTCTTGTTTTTTATCACGAACAGGAAACTTTCCCTCAAACGCTTTTGCCTTTTCAAAAACAAGGCCATCAGGGAATTCGAGGGTTCCAAGCAAATCTCCTGCTTTGAATACAGCGCCTTCAGCCTGAATCAAACATGTCAACAGAAGATCCCTTCACAGCGAAGGGGGACATACCAATGCATGCGAGAGGATCCCCGCTTCTGGTACTTGCAATTGCATGTACATTTTCATGATTTCAATCTCTGCGTAAGGTTGTCCTCGCTGCACTGGCGTCCCGCTTGTGACAATCCAACGCGATAATTTTCCACTAACGGGAGCACGCACCTGAAGCCATCACGAATACATCAAGTATATGTGATAAACGGAAGATCCTATATTAATAGATTCCCATCACAAAAAGTATTGAACACCAGACGTCTTATAACAGTTGATTCTTCCAACTGCATCAGTACTACTCTCTCTGTAACTTGTAAGAAAATCTTCATGTATTAACTACAGAAACCATTTTGAAATATAAAATTAGTAGCGATTCTGTGGATCTAGACGTCCACGTTGGGCTCACTTGGGAAGGATCAGATTCTTTAACAAAAGTAAATGTCGATCCATCAAACGTCACACGGATTCCAGAATTATCAATTTTATAAAATACTCGACGACTTCGACCATCAAATCCCCGAGAGACCAAGAAACATGCAGCTGCATTGTTTGACTCATTGGGATCTGCGCAAGTCGTAAAAGGAGTCGATGAAGACGTGATGGGTCGGAGAAGGACTTCCGCTGTTGAATTGTTCAATTGAACCGCGATCTGAAGCAACGATTTAGAATCAAACAAATGATCAATTGATTGTGATTACCATATAGGGAGCAGTATGAAAGCATTGGACATCGAAACGTGATGTCTTATAAACCAGCTCGGACGACGTTTGGACTTTTATTGCCGGTGGAAGCTGTCCTTGACCAATCTAGGGACAAGACAATGTCTCTCAATATCCCTTGATCGATCCTCCCGCGTACCTTTTCTAAAAATTCAGCTTCACTCCGCTTGAACGTGATGAAAGCCTCATAGGCAGCGGCAAGAAGGACCGCCTGCAATAGCAAACACTGCTGAGGAGACTCTCTGGGCATTCGTGAAATGGACTCCACACATTGGGAATTTCGTGATCCCAAAGACACAGAAGTCTCGACCCAAGTTGTGTGTGTGTTGTTGTTCCTGGAAGACAATAAAACGAGCATTGAACACATTATGGTGAGCACTTCCAACCAGATCATAGCCCAAGTGCGGGATTTGAACCCACTTCGCTGTTGACTTACACAAAGTCAGGCAACTCCAATATTGTCAATAAGGCCTCAACGTTCGTTCTTATTTCTCCCCGCACAGTCAAGCCTTTCAACGCGACGATCAAATGCCTGCGAGCGGATTCGCGATCCCGTCCAGACGCAAAAATGTGACCAATTTGGGAATCCGCATATGCGTGCACTTTCCCGGTCGCACCGATTGAAAAATATCCCCAGACGTCCATCGATGTCCGCAAGTGTAACTCAAACACATCTCCGCATGTTGGTCTAAAATTATCTTCAGCATGTTCGGCAGTGATTCGCGCAGCAATACAATGCTTTTCCGGCAATTTTTCGCACGATTTGAGGTCCAGGAATCTCTATAAAAATGAAGTTCATTCTCCAAATAATGCGTGTCGACTCACTTTAATATCAGGAATTTTCTCCAAAGGAATTCCCATGGCAATTTGCAATTGTGCTGCAGGCAAATTTAAATCAGATACAACTTCAGTGACAACGTGTTCAACTTGAAGTCGTGCATTCACTTCTAGAAAATAGATTTGTTTCTGAAAAGAATAATTATTAGAAAGACGAATAAGTGTGAGAATTCCATTATTTGAATCACTAATTAAAGATTTCACAAATTGGTGAATATTGTTGAGAGACACACAACTTACAGTGTCTAAATCATACATAAATTCACATGTTGCAACATTACAATATTTTACTGCTGAACACAACCGGACTGCAGCATCCTCCATTCGCTGAATCACTTCTTTTGGGGCTGTTACAACTGGCCCCTCTTCTATAATTTTCTGACACCGACGTTGAATTGAGCAATCACGACTACCAAGTGCAATTGTATGTCCGTAGCAATCGCTAATTACTTGAACTTCCAGATGTCTGAATTGATGGACAGTCATCAGAAGCGCAACAAATTCCACCGCACCTGCAACGCTGAACGAGTCTCATGATGAATACAAGAGACCCTTTGACCTCGTTGATGACCTGGTGGTAGGCGCTAACGACCTCATCCGCCGTCTTCACTTTTCGTATTCCTTTCCCGCCACCTCCAGCTGACGCTTTGATCATAACAGGGTATCCGAGACGGTCGCATACACTGAGAGCCTCTTCGGCAGATTTGACACAAGCGCGGTCGAGACACTCCCGAGGCAACAAACCAGCTGGGGAGAAGGAAAGATGGTTATCAGTGGATACACCGATGTCCCACATATCATCAACACCAGACTTCGAGCATAGAAGGAATTTTAGTACAAAGTCATAATTCAAATCCTACCAGAAAGATCCTCCTCTGTACATGTAACATGCATGCCGCTCCATGGGACACATGGGACATCAACGGATTGCGCAATAATCGTTGACCCAATTTTGTCCCCTAATGCCAACATGGACGAGTAGGGTGGTCCAATCCACACAGGTCGACGTGGTGACGATGCTAATGCTATTGGAAACTTGAAATTTTCGGATGCGTGACCCCAACCAGGCCATACAGCATCGCAATCATACTCTTCCGCAATCTAGTGAGAGATCAATCATCAAAAACTTTCACTTTCTTGACTGACTTGAATGATTAAATACAGATTCGAGAAATTGTTGTTTGTAGGACCGCATGGAACTTCAACCAGGAAGTCACCTTCACTGATGTATTCTTGATTCGCTTCAATATCGTCTGTTGTGGCCATCACAACGAATTCTAATGCCCTATCCGTTCCTACCATTGAATACGACCATTGCCTCAAGGAGCGGATCGCCTAGAAGCAATGAGAGGAGGGGGAGGTCTACACATGGAAATTACAGCAAGGGACTCACTTTCACTGCTGCGTTGCCGTTATTCGCAACTAGAATTCGCGTCAGAAGGGAAGTACCCCCATTGCGCTTGACGAGGTCCTCAAGTGATGCGTATGGATGTTTCACATAATGGGCTTCATCGGGAGAAGTTTTGACGTCAGGAGAGTTTGACTTCCATTCATCTGCTGCAAGGAGATCCGTTGACGTAACGGGTTGATTTTCGCCAATAGAGGGAGCAGTTGGGGAGACGGAAGGGGGGGGGCTACGGATTTCTGTGGTTTCCGTACGGTGCGATAAGTTATCCATTTTTCGGGAAATAAAAGTTCGCTCTTAGAAAATGATGAGAGGTGAGCGTTTCGTGGTTTAAAGGACTTGCTGATCCATTTGTGTTCTCTTCAATAACAAAATTGTACACAAGAGTTGTAGTGAGCTTGAGCAATGCAGTTAGCTCACGAAAAAAGGAGAATTTTGCAAAAGAAGAAAGCACACATTTACCCCTTCGTCAAAAAATTAACGGATACCTGAAGAAAGTCATGAGGAGCAGAAGCGTTCCTGAGTTCATTGATGACGAAAAGGTACGCTGAGGTCCCACCGTATAGTATATTTCATAAAAAAGATGCTGAGTTTGTTTAATGGCTTTCGTAGGACCATCAGATAAAGCGCCATAAAGACGGTTTGAACAAGATGGAGACGACCACGGAATTCGAGCTGTTCCCGCCAAGCGTGGTCTTCATTGCAGCAGCTCTTTGTGTGGCATTAATGCAATTAGCTGGTGGCCCCTCAACGCTTGTCCATTATCCAATTTCTGCAATCAGTCCTTTAAGCTTCATTTCCTTCTTTAAAAGTCTGGTTGCAACATTCAGGGCCATTCAATTCACATCAATGACATCAGCGGGTTCTCTTACAGCCACTCTTTTCGCTGGCTTCTTTCCAATCAGCTTCATTGGATTTTCGTGGCTTCCACGCTTGCTTAAATGGAAACAAATCTCCCCTCTGCATTTTGGAATGAGACTATCAGACATCCAACAAGGACCCTTACTTGGAACTTTCCCCTCTCTGGACTACATAGCACGCTTCATCTTCCATCCTTTTTATGTCAGCTCTTCCTCAACGTTCACGACTTTGTTTTATTGGATTGCATTCCTTCCTTTTTGCTTTTATCTCGTTTTCTCACTTCTTGATGGAGCTTTCATTGGAGGAAGACGCTTACCCTCAGCTATTTCTCCAGCAACTTTAGTTCTTGAATTTATAGCGAATTGTTTTCTTGTAATTATTTCTAACGTCTTCTGTAGTTCCAGTGCGATCCATTTCAGCCGCCTTCACCCAATTTTTGAGCTTCCCATTCCGAATACGTTCTATGGACCTGAGCCCCTCCTACTCTCTCTGTTCTTTCTTGTTTTCTACAGAAATCCAGTAAGTTATTATATCAATTGGTAACATCAATCAATTGTCGTATTTTTGCCAGGTTATTAATTCTATTGCACTCTCTGATCCTCTTTTGCGGTTACCATTCGCTATAGAAGCTCGATGGATCGTCTCTGTCTTTATTCTATTGCTTCTAGGAGCAACACCATGGAGATGCATTCCTCTTATCTTGCTTTCGGGCACTCTTGCAGGCCTCGTTCTCATTATAAAAGACCGAATGCAGAACAGTGCAGAAAATAGGAACGGAGAATTTCGCATTTCTCAAGTGAGAGATTTGGCGTGTTCTTTATTGCTGTTCTATTGTCAGGCCTGTCGGTCCTCGGTGTTGGCTTTGGAGCTATTGATTTATTATATTTCTTTCTTTGTTCTTCCGTTTTCGGCGACATCATTCCCAACGTTTAAAGAATTTTCTGCTTCTTCTTTGATGCGATTCCCGACGTGAGTTCCTTTGATGGCTTCACTGAGTTCATCGCGTTTACCATTCAGTGGAACGACACCACTCTGGAATTGCCTCTGCGTCACTGATCCGGTTGCGCGCTTTTCGGCAAAGATTTTTTCTCTTTTTCTTCCTCTTCTGGTGTTTGTCCCTCCGACCGCATTTGGTGAGCTTCTTTGATTTTCCTGGATAATTTTTTAATTTCTTTTTTTAATCAGCTGCTGCGTCTCGAAGTCTTTCAGTTTTGCTTGGCCTCCAACTGTTTTACGGAATGAATTCGAAGGTATGGTTCAAGTTGTTACTCGCGCAAAACCAAATTGTTTTTTTCAGTTTTGGGTTTTCCCTCATGTGGGATTTATAACTCACATCATCTCAATATATCGGCTATTCGTGTCCATTCCATCCATCAAAAGTTCTTGAGTTTTCGCTGTTTTCTCTTTCCTACAACTTGCTGTCCCATTCATTTGTCTTTTATTCTGGGAGTTGTTTTCGTTTGTCGTTTCCTTTAAGAGCGCCTTGCTTTCAGAATATCACCAGATTCCGACAGACGACGATATTTGAAAATGACAAATGCAGGCCTATCAACCCAACTGTTCGTGCCGTTTTCCATCACGATGAAGCAACGAAGTTGAGGTCAGTCTTGAATATCAGAAGCGCCATCGAATACACTGATTGTTCATGATACATCTCAGGTGCTTGGAAACTGAGGGCGCGCCAAGGATTAGATCGCTAAAAAGACATTTCTGATGCTTCAACCATCAATTTGTGTTTTTATGGTAGCTCGACGTTTTGCTGGACAGCACCAACTTGGGGGGCAATCAAGGTGTTGAGAAAGCACTACAGTCATGCTTCAAAAGTTGACTCAACGTGAAGCCGGGGAAGACACGTTTATGCTCGACATGGCTATAGGAGGAAAGAAGCCCCAGGAATCAGAGAAGCCTGCACTCCGGGAATCAAACTCCCTCTGCACAAGATAGCTCGACGAAAAGCCGGAAAATTTGCACGGAAAGGCTTTTTCTAAAGCGTTAAGTAAAATAGACGCCGCCTTTGTTGTGCCTTTTTAAAGCCCATCAAGCTCCTGTGGGGTGCCAAAACATCAAAGTTTTACAGAACGACTCGTTCCAGATTGAGAAGCCAGATTCTTCCTCCCCGCGAGAAGAACCAGGAAGTTACTCCGCTCGCACAATTCCTTTCCTTTTCGGTTCGATTTTTCCATGTAGATCACTTTTAAGGCTGAATCGATCACCAAAAAAAAAGAGCTGAGTGTCAGTACTAGCGATGTGTAAGTCAACTTCCAGCTGTCTTGCGTCAAAAGCTATCAACCTTCCGATCTCTGCGCTTCCACCCATGACCTGCTCTACGCTGTCTTGATAATGTTTCGATTTTGGAATGCAGTTTGAGGCAACCAGTGGATCGCGGATAAGTTGAATCTTGCAGAAATCAAATTTAATGATGGGAAGTCACACATCTGGAGAACTGTTTCTTGTCCAACTGCATGTAGGAAAGTTGAAGGTCTAAATGTTTCAAGTGTATTTAAATGCAATCCTCATTGTGGGTGGGTTTTCGCTTCTGACAACAAGCTGTGGAACACTCATTCGATTGCGCGGACCTCAAAATAGAGGTCTAGGAATGGAAAGGAATCCAGAAGCAACTCAGCTGGAAAAGCATTGTAAAGACGTGTTCGACGATTCAATTGAGTCACTAATCAATATGCGGAAGGAATACGATACGGTCAGAGAATTGAATAAAATAAAATTTGCATTGTGACTTATAGAAATGTAGAGATGTGTGGTTCGGAAGCTCCAAAACAGCGTGGAGGGACGTCCTGACGGACAAGCAACCTGCAATCAAGTTCATCAGAGTGTGGAAATCACTTCTCCGAGAAGACAAGGTGTCTACACAAATCTTTGCGATGCATGTGTATTTTTTTGGGCTGAGATTGCTACGTCGCTCACCGAGTGAGCACAAGCAAGCGCATGGTGTGATGAACGCGGCTTTAAAAGTATGTCTGAATCGCTAATGATTGATTGTCATTCACCATCAAACAGCCGCTTAATCGCTGTATCACCGACCGGGGCAAAGGGTATCTCCAGGAAACTATTTCTAATGCGGTAGAACGTCACCTGATTTCAAACGTTAACTTCTTGTCTCTGCAGAGAATCGAATGGATTTTGGAGACCAAATCAAAGAAAAAACTAGCGTGCCATCCAGATGTTGAAACTGCGTTGCGTAAGGGTCTTAAAAGTTTGACAGAAGACACGCCGCCCCCGACGCTGAGCAAAGATGATCCGCCGCCTCTGTTGGCCTTTCCCCCCGCCCCCGCGGCTTAGCAAAGATCCGCCGCCCCTGTACACTGCCGCCCACGACGCTGAGCAAAGATGATCCGCCGCCTCTGTTGGCCTTTCCCCCCGCCCCCGCGGCTTAGCAAAGATCCGCCGCCCCTGTACACTGCCGCCCACGACGCTGAGCAAAGATCCGCCGCCTCTCTCACCTGGCCTGAGTGACCTCGTATATTTGCACTTAATTGTTTGCAATTTTTTTTTGTTCTTTGTTGTGCTTTATTGTGTTTTTTTGTTGACAATGTCGAATCTTATCAACCTTGAGTTTATTAATGTTAAAAATGCAAGCGGTACCAAAAAAACACGAAAAGAACTCTCAAGTGCAAACTACTGCAGATCCAGCGAGTTACAATTCATTGTTCTGATGACTTCTTTGTTTCCACAGTTCATAAATTGCTTCCCAGTTTTGGAAAACTTCATCCTCTTCCCCGACCAGATTTCCTCCGGCATCTGACGGAAAAATTGTTGGTGATACGAAATTCTTAGCTTTCAAAGTTTGAAGGTAGACCGTGGCATCCAGACTCGCAGCACCCATCTTGATCTCATCTTCTTCAAAATCGTTTTTTAGGTACGAGTTGATGGACGTGAAAGTATTAAGCAAGCTCTGATCCAAATCGGTCTTTATCTCATGATTGAACATTTTAGATGATTTGAGCACTTGAATTGCAGCAATGATTTTCATTCCAATTTCCTCACCCAATAAATTGTGTCCCGCCAATTGCTCCAGTGCTTTCGTTTCTTCCACCCATCCACTTGAGTTCGTTCTTGTTCCTTCAGAAATCGGCTGTAGACTTCGAACGGACGATAGAAAATTCGTACCACTTAACTCCGAACTGCCGCCTAGAATAGAGTCTAAGGCGGCCTCTAATTCTGCCTCTGCTGTCTCCACCTTCTGCCTAGAGCGACACTTTGACTCCCAAGTACCTTTTCCTCCACTCAGTGGAGCATCACAATAGTTGCAAGTCCATGGTTGTGAATTTTTAATGCTCGGATCATCATAGTAACAGCAACAGCATCGCCGAATACGAGAGTACGTGACATGGCCAGGTGGTTGGAACTCATATGAATACAATAGACTTCGGAAGAGAAGAACCCACGTAAGGATC